GTCCACTCGGAGATGCCTGCGAGCCGCAACAAGCCCGCGATTGGGCTCCAGCTCTGGCTCAATTTGCCCAAGTCGCTCAAGATGACCGAGCCCAAGTACCAGGAGATTCCGGCCAAGGGTCTCCCGCGCGCCAAGGAAGGCAACGTCGAGGCGATCGTGATCGCAGGCCAAGCCATGGGCGAGACCGCCAGTGTCTTTACCAACGTCCCGATCACGTACGTGCATTTCATCTTTTCAGGCGCAGCGTCGCACTCGCATGCGCTGCCGAAAGACCACAATGCGTTCGTGTACGTCATTTCGGGCGAGGGCTTCATCGGTGGCACGCGCGTCGAGCCGCACTCGGTCATTTTGCTCTCGGCCAACGGCAACGAAGACGGCGTCACGCTCGAGACGACGGGCGAGATGCAGTGTGTCGTGCTCAGCGGCAAGCCCATCAACGAGCCCATCGAGCAGTACGGCCCGTTTGTCATGACGACCCGTGCCGAGCTCCAAGCCACGATCCAGGACTACAACCTTGGCCGCAACGGCTTTGAGAACGCGGCGAATTGGAGCTCGTCGATTGCCGAACTCGCGTACAAGTAGATACGATCACTAGCGTATTCAATTATATACGACCTTGCATGAGTAGCTCCGCCTCTTGCCTCATCAATGCATCATCACCAGCACAGCCAGCACGACATCGAAGCACGTCCATGAATTAATGCTCCATGCATCCCAGTGATGACAGCGGCTGGTGCGATGACCGATTAGCGGCGCTCGAACTGCTAGTTGTGCATTTACTACACTACTACACGGGCGAAGCAGCATGGCTCGCTCGTCCTTGAAGGTGGCCTTTCTATCGCATTACGGTCGCAACGGATCTCGAAGGGTAGCATGATTGCATTGCAGGCGCGTACGACTAGGCCAATAGGCTCGTGCATGCAGTCGCGATCGCCTCGGTTGATGGTCCATCGGCCTTGGCCTACTGGTAGGAGCAGTCGCTCCTACCTCGTTGCCATGTCGTCCTGACGATCGACTGGGCGTTTGAAAACTTAAATAGTTCCTATTAAGTGCGATTGACAAAGCGCGCACTTTTGAACAGAAGGCGCCAGTTCTTTGGAGCGCACTTAGGCGGGCTCAACGGTGCAACCAGTGTTTACTTCGAGCCGTTCGAAGTATTTGGATATTGCCCCGAAGTTTTCGGACCGTCGAAGGCAGCATGAACGCGCAAGGGGCCGGGTCTGGAGACGCCAAGGGCGTCAAGAAGGAGCGCCATCGGCTCACGGACCAGCAGCGCATCGACATCATCCGCGCCGTCGAGCGGGACCCGACGCTTAAGAACGTCGAGCTCGGTCGACGCTACAACATCACGGAGGCGGCCATCCGCCAGCTCCTCCAGAAGAAGGACGCTATCCTCGACCGGTATCTCAAGTCCAACCCCAACAGCCACGACGACCGACCCACTGGCATTGAAGAGATTTCGGCCAACATGTTGCCGACGGGCCAACCGCTGATACCGACGACGATCCTTGGCCGGGGTGGTCGAAAGGGCAAGCTGCGGCCCAATGACAAGCAGCGCATCGACATCATTCGCGCCGTCGAGCGCGACCCGACGATCAAAAAGGTCGAGCTCGGTCGACGCTACAACATCTCGGAGGCAGCGATCCGCCAGCTTCTCCAGAAGAAGGACAAAATTTTGGAGCGCGTTGCGGGCACGGGGCTGCCCACGGGGCCGCTTCCCAGCACATCCTCGTCGGCGGTCCGTCCCGAGCGCAAGAAGCCGCCGCCGGCGCCCTTGCACATGGAGGTCACGTCGTCGTTCGACTCGGAGCTCTACGGCTGGGTCACGGCGCTCCAGTCGCGCAACGTCATGGTGGCGCCGTCGCTCATCCAGCGCAAGGCCAAGGAGCTCGCCGAGAAATACCCCGCGGCCGAGTACAAGCCGTCGGTGGCGTGGTACAACAAGTTTTGCTCGCGCTTCAACCTGCCGCCGCACCCGACGACGAGCCCGGGGCAGTACGTCAACAACATGAGCAACCTGGATTTGCAGCTGCAGATGAAGCAGCTCCGCGAGAAGATTCTGCAGTACTCGCCCGACCGCATCTACAACATGTGCGAGACGAGTCTTTTCTACCAGCTCGTGCCGTCCTACAACGTGCTCTGCCCGTTTGAGAGCGCCGAGGTGACGCAGCGCAAGATGGAGCGCGTCACGCTCGTCGTCTGCACGAACGCGACCGGGACGCACAAGATTCCAATTCTCATGGTCGGGAAGGAAAAGTCGCCGGTCTCGGCCGGCTACAAGTCGCTCCCGATTCACTACGCGTCCCAAGTGAAGGCGTGGATGGACTCGACCATCTTCAACCATTGGTGCCAAAACGTCTTCATGCCCGAGGTCAAGCTCCGCACGAACGAGCCGGTTTTGCTTCTCTTGGAGCACGGCGCGCAGAACGTCGAGTTTGCCGTCGACCAAGTCACGTCGATGTTTGTGCCGCTCAACATGGGCTCGCGCTTCCAGCCCATGAACCTCGGCATCATTGACGCGCTCAAGAAAGAATTCAAGTTTGCGATTTTCTCGGATCTGATTTCGGTGCTCTCGCTCGGGGACCAGAAGCGCCTCGAACTCGAGCAGAAGGCGCGGACGCTCGTGCCAAAGGGCGCGGCCGGCATTGCGTACGGCCGGTCGCCGCATCTCTTTGACGCCATGGTCACGATCAAGGCGGCGTGGGAGTCGCTCTCACGCGACACGATTCAAAACAGCTGGGCGCTCTCGACGCTCGTGCCGGGCCTCGACCGCATGAGCGAGCACAAGGAGTGCCACATCGTCCACGACATGTGCGCAATGCTCTCGTGCATATCGCTCAACGCGACGTACGGCGAGATCTCGACCGAGATTGTCGAGTGGATGGCGATCGACGACAACGACTCGCGCGTGCTCCGCGAAGAGATCCAACGCGACATTGACGAGCTCCTCCACGCGCCGTCGCTGCGACTCGACTCGCCGACAAACGCGCTTTTGGACCCGCCGCCGCCATCGCCCTGGGTCGGCGACGAGGCCTTTGTGCAAATGATCATGGCGGTCGAGGACCAGCTCGGGCACCCGCGCGTGCAAGGCCTTCTCGGCGACCAGCAAGCGCAGAGCACGGTGCATGCGCTTCGGAGTGTGATCCGGCAGCTGCGCCGGGACACGCTATTGCGCAAAGCAGGACGCACTGTCGAGCTGTAGGCTCCACGCGACGAGCATCATCGAACTAGTGTAGTACCGAGGAATAAGAAAAACTTAGATAGTTGCTTATATATATTGCCTATATTTTGCATATTGGCGAATCTTCCTAGGCGCTGCCGTTGGACGAAAGATACGCTATATAACGTTTTTGTATTGTATAGTAAAACCGAGTCAACGTTGAGAAAGAAAAGGCAGTTGCGATCACAACACGATGGGCAAATCAATGGGCGCGGCCCAGCCGCTTCTGCCGATGCACACGCCAGCGCGTCGCCCGACGACGCGGTTCCTCGATCGCGGCGGGAACCACGCGATCCCCGAGAGCCAGTACGGCCTTCTCGGCCAAATGTCCTTTGGCAAATACAAGTACGACGATTGCCACAAGTGCAATCTCAGTCTGTCTTAGCATCCAGCGCGTCGGTGGCTCGTGGCGCAAGATCTACTGGGACGACTTGTACCACACGGTCATCAACACGCGCACCGCGCGCCTCGTCACAGCGGTCTTTGTTGTCGTACGACGTCCGAAGAGAGAGAGGCCCTCCATTTATCTCTGTCTGTAGTACGCCTGCGTCATTTTCTTCTTTGCGATCGCGTACCAAACCGTGTCGCTCAAGGACCCCGAGTGCCACGTCGGGATCAGCAGCCTCACCGAAGCCTACATCTTCTCGGTCGAAACCATCGTAAGTTGCCGCTTCTATCCGCTCGATCATGAGGATGTATGACGACAGATGACGATCGGGTATGGCGCGCCGTCCGACGACATCTTTTACGGCGGCTGCGGCTCGATGGCGTTTCTGCTGACAATGGAGGTAAGCGTCCTCGTCGTGGCTCGCCAGATACCAAGGATGGTGTTTTAGTCGTTTGCGGGCATCTTCCTCGACTCGATCCTCATTGGGATGTTCTTTGTCCGCTTCTCCCGCGCCGATGTACGTGGCATGTGTTTCTTGGCAGCCATGGCACTCGACGCGTGGTTGCTAGACGCGGTCGCTCTCGATCGTCTTTTCCAAAGACGCGGTCATCCGCAAGATCCGCGGCGGCTACTACCTCATGTTTCAAGTGTGCGAGCGCCGAAAGCACCAGGTATCAACGAATGCGCTACGCTTGCATGCGAGAAGCGGTGACATGTACTAGCTCGTCGAGGCCCATGTCCGGTGCTATGGCATCCGGCACGAGATTGCGCCCGATGGCACGGAGGAAGCGCTGTTCCAGACGCATCACATGCGGCTGCAGCAGCCGGACGACGACATTGGCGCGTACCTTCTCATGGCGCTCCCGCAGCTCGTGGTACGAAGCAGGCACGTCGGAAGCGGGTGGTAAGGCGTTGATAGGTGCACCGCATTGACCAGTGGAGCCCGCTCTTTCCGCGCGAGTGTCTCCCGACAGACTACTACGCCTCGACGTGTCCCGGCTTCCCCGGTACTCAAGTACCCACTTCGATGGATCGACACATGAGTAGACCCGTGTCAGCGCGCGATTGACCACGAGAACGGCAACCGCGACTACGAGCGCGGCGCGGCCGAACCGGTGGCGCCGACCGAAGAGCAGATTCGTCGGCACTTGGCGACGTCCGAGCTCGAGGTGCTCGTGATCCTCGAGGGCGAAGACAGCACGACGTCCAACACCATGCAGGTACTACACCTCGCAACGACCTTGTCTGTCGTATCAATGTATCAATATTGATATGGCTCTGGCGCAGGCACGCTATTCGTACACGCTGCATGACTTGCAGTGGCACTGCGTCTTTGACACATGCGTCTCTCGCAACGTCTCGAGCGGCGGTGTCACGATCGACTTTGACAAGTTTCACCACGTGCGCCCTGAGGGTCTTTAACGTTCATCAACAATTGACCGTAAGACAATAGGACAATGTGTACACCCTTGGTAGCCATTACACTGGACCAAGAGGAATCGTTATTGCGGCTCGGTGTGGTCGAGCGGGTACAAGTATGCGCCTTCGACCCCAAACACTTGGCCCGTATCGAGGTCCTTGACGTGAATTGGTCGGTGCACGCGGCGGTGATGGGCGTTGCGCCACTGCAAGAGGAGCGGGTGGCGGCACGTCTCAATGACTTCGGAGACGTGCAGGATGAGGTCGTGGCAGGAAAGCGTCGAGAGCACGTGGATGAACGCGTGCGAGACCTCTTCGGCCAAACACCCGCTGCCAAGTGCGCGAATCGACGGCTCGGCGCTTGCAAAGAGGGCCATCGAGACGCAGTACATGCCCTCGATGCCCATGAGGAGGCAAATGTCCCAGATACACAAGAGCGTGTCGTACTGCAGCTGGTTGTGCTTGCGGTTGGCTTGGAGCGACACGTCCGAGAAGAGCGTCGGAAACCACTTATACGCGAGTAAGAAGACCGGGAGGCCGACGTCATCAAAGAGCGCAGTCAGCGTCGGGAGGTACATGCGCATCATGCTCTCGAGGTGCTGACCCGTTTGCACGAGCGCGCTTACTTCGTCGCTCGCGTCGAAAATGGACGGCAAAATGTGGTGCACCATCGCCTCCAAGTACTGGTACACGCGCACTTCGTCGCCGTCCATTAGCTCGAGGAGGAGGAAGGCAATCCCGTTCATGCCTTGGAGGTACTGCACGTGCGTGGATGCAATGAACGCATGCAGAATCCGGTGCAGTGACATGAGACGCTCGGGCGGAGCGCGCACAGTGTTGAGCGGCGCGCCTTCCGACGACGCCATCCACGACATCGTCCGCGGTACATCTTTTTGTAGCTGGATTGCATCCCTAACGTCCGTCGCGTGAGTCCGTTTGAAGAGCATGTCGATGATCAATGTACTCGTCGGAGATTGGGAGATGGACGAGCGCTTCGAGTTGGTCGGGCGTCGAAACGGTGGGAGTGGCGAGGCCCCACGCGAAGAGCTGCGGCCAGTATGTGCTCCGCGCTGCGGGCTCTTGCAAAAGCACCTGCAGCGCCTCGGTATACCGCGCTTCTTGCTGGCAGAAGAGGAGGAGCCGAACCAGCTCGTCGTTGGTCACCATGGGTACGACAGGCTTCTCAAACACCAAGTCGCCTTGTGCGTGGAGGGCACGCGTGAGACTCGGGTTCGTGGTCTGCTCGTCGATCTCTGGCGGGAAAAACGCCGTCGCGTGTGCGTTCTGGATCGCTGTGGGCAGCGGGCTGCAGTTGACGCCGCCGCCAACGACGACGCCGTTGGCCAAGTCGATCGCATGCACGAGCGCGCCGAGCCACTGCAGCATGTCTTCCTGCGAACTCGCTTGGAAGAGGAGCGGTACTTCTTGCTGGACGTTCGCGGGCGAGTGTGAGAGCAGAAAGCAGAACGGTCGACCAGCCAGCACTTCGTGGACGAGGCGCACCGAGCAGCCAGCGAGCGGTACGTTGGCTTTGGACGCCGAGACAGGTCGCGATGCATCCGACGACGACGACGTTGTGCTACTGCTGCTACCAACCGAATTGTCGGACGGCAAGATCGATTGGCTCCACTTGGCCATTGCGAGCGTGGCGGTCGAGAGGAAGCGGGCGCAGACAAAGAGGTCGCCGTCGATTTCGCAGGCGACGTCGCGCCAGCCCATGAGCGCTGTGCCGCTCGTTGTGAGCTTGAGCATCGAGCCGAGCGACTCGTACGACTGGCAGCGAAGCACGCCGGCTTTTGGTCGACACCGGAGAAACTGCAGCGTCGAGGGCAGTGCGAGGGACGTGAGCTTCGTATGGACGTCTTTCGAGCTGCACTCGATGACCGAGTGGCCGTTGATCGCAATGAGAACGCTCCCGCGCGCGAGCTGCTTCTTTCCGAGAAAGGTGGAGCTGTAGATGACGAGGCGGTCGCTGTGGAAGCGGCCATGCTGCAGGCACGTGATGATGTCCATGGCGGTCGCGATGCCAAACTCGAAAATGTCGTCGTCGCTCGACTGCGCCGCGACCTTGATCATCGTTGAGGTTGGCGACAAGAGGCTCGTGGGCGATGCGAACGGAAGGCGGTCGATGGGCGGCGCCGCAGCGCGCAGGCACCGGATCCACGCGCCCATCTCTTCCATCGTGTCGGCGTGCAAGAGCAGGAAAAAGGATGGCGACGCGACCTGGAACGTGAATGGCCGGCTCGACAAGTACTCGTGCACGGTCTTGATACTGCAGCCGGCCATGTCGTAGATGCGGTCGGTCGTCTTGGTTGGCTTGGAGAGCTTGGCCTTGGCTTTCGAGAGGCTGCTGAATGCGAGGCTCGAGATGGTCTTGGGCTTGGCCTCGGGCGCAATGGAAAAGTACTGCAGCGTGGAGCCTGTCAGCACGAAGCGGCGCTTCTTCCACACGTTGAGCGTCTTGGCGCGGACGTGCAGGTGGCCCTCCATCTCGTCACAGCCCGACACCGACGCCATGGCCTGTATAAATACCCACGTTCTTCCGGTTCCTTCCGGATAACAGATGTGGCATGTCTCGTATCGGTCTCTTCTATGTGGTTTATTTTATTTCATTTGATTTTACACATATAAAATGGATACATGTATAAGATGAGACGAAATGGAGAATACAATAAGTGCAATGTGATGCCCATCACGCCACTGTGGCGAGCGTCGGTGCCATGGCGCATCACACTCGTGCCTCATGACTAGTCAGCTACCACGAACTTGGATGAAGGTGGTCTATTTGTATGCTCCACCGCCATGAAGGAGCCAGCTTCTACAGGGCTAGCGTAGGGGCGCTGCAACGACCTCGTGACATTGATCTCGCAACCGTCATTTGCAGTGTAAAGAGGCGGTGATTCTCCTGCGCGACTTAGACGCGGCAGTGCTCTGTAAAGTTGTACGTCAGCGCTGCCGCGTAGATGGTGCGGAGCTCGGGCAGCGTGCAGTAGCCCTTCTCGCCGCAGCTCGGAAGCCGTACGAGCCGCTCGTTCAAAAGCAGCTGGACGCGGTGCTCGTCGCCACACGCAAACAAATGAAAGACCACGTTGCCCGCAAACGGCGAGATGGCAGCGACGTTGAAGACGCGGTGGGCGATTTCATCATCGTCGAAGGCAGCAAGGAGCTTGGTGTCGGTGCAGAGACCGAGGAGACACACGAGCGGGAGCACGGTTTCGGCGTGCGCAAAACGAAAATACCCGACGACGCCCAGCGGGTTCGAAGCGGCGGCCTCCATCGTGCGCAGCATCTGCGCCAAGAGCGGCGCCGCGATCGCATACGAGATCTCATAGCCCGTGCCGCACTCGTAGTACTTTTTCAAGTCGGCGTAGAAGTCGAGGAGTCGCAGCGCCTTGACCGAGAAGAGGCGGCACCACGTGCGGCGGTCGTGGAAGAGCGCGACGTCGTACCTACGAGAGCGTCAGAACTCGCTATTAGGGATCTTCACGTCGCACGAGCACGCGTCGTAGATGGTCTTGAGCTCGCTGAACGAGAGCTGTGCGGTCGGCGGCAGCTGCAGCGCGCGATGCAACTCATCGACGAGCGCTTTGGCGCGCGCCGACGCTTCGAAGCGTTTGGTTTCGATCGTCATGGCCGTCTTGTTGTTACGAACGTCGCGCAAGTAGCGCGGGCAGTTGTCAAAGAAGCGCAACTCGACGTCCTAGAATCAGAGAACTGAGTTTGTTCCGAGCGCATGCGGTAGGACGCGAGTTGACCTCGCCGGCGGGCTTTACGACGTAGGTGACGGACGTCGCATTTGTAAAATATGCGTTGGCAAAGCTAGAGCAACTGTAAGCACCCGCGGGGAATCGCTCGCGCATACGCAATGGCGCTCGCTTTGGTCCGGGCAACGTGCGTGTGCTCGACGACGTAGTGCGCTGGAGTATAGTCGCGCGACAAGCCTAGACGGTCGGCAAGGCGGCCGGCGCGCTGCCCGAGGTCCGCGAGCTCGCGGATACCCGCGGGCGCCAGACCTTCGGCTGCATGCGCGTCGTAGCTAAAGTTGTACGCTTGGAGCCACGCTGGCACGTCGTCGTGGAACGTGGACTGGAGCCAGACGAGCACGTTCTGCATTTTGGCAAACTCGGGCGCCATGGGGTACCGCGTGCCATGGCGGAGGAGCGCATTCATCTGCACGAGCTTGCACTGGGGCAGCGAGCGCAGGTCGTCGAGGCCATGCGGCTCGAACGGCAGCGCAGCGTCGTAGCGCGTCTTGGTCGAGAACGGCGTCGGCGCTGGCGCCGGTAACGTCCACCGCCGGACGACGAAGAGCGCTTCGCGGTCCATGTACACGTAGTCGAGCACGAGGCGCCAGTTGAGCGACGCGAAGAGCAGCATGCACGTGATGGGGACGATCGAGACGACGCGCATGAGGCCAAGGTACCTCGTCCGGGGCGTCTCCATGGCGGCGAAACTCAAGATATTTCGTTGACGGCCTCTGATTTCCATCAATTTTGACCAATCGGAATCGAGATTTTGGTATCTTTCGAGCCAGGTTGAACGCGGAGCTGTCGCCGACGACACGGGAAGACAACAAGTCCTTGCCTTGCCAACGGTCGACCTCGCGAGAGGCTAGCACTGATACACCTTGACGGACTTTTCAATTGAGATTCACGGGATTTTTACGGTACAATTACAAGATTTTTTTACTCACAAGCGCGGCGCGGAAGAGGAGTTCGACGATACGCTTGTGCTTCTTTCGGACCGCAATCATGAGCGGTGTTTTGCCCGTCTACTTGGCGCATGACAATGTTGCCCTTGGCGCAGATTCAAATTGTACCGCGTTGCGAAGCTCAAAGTTGGCCTTGGCTGTCAGCAGGGCCGATACGACGCCTTCGTGCCCTCGCTTGGCGGCCACAAAGAGCGGAGTTGCGCCATTCTATTGGACGCCCATTGCCACATCCAGCCAACGACGGGTTTATCTATACCTTGTCGCACTGGTTGATGTCTGCTTGCGCGTCCAGGAGCAGCTTCACCGCCGCCTCCTGCCCCATCTCGGCCGCGACCCACAGCGGCGACTCGCGTTTCTACAGCCATATCAGCGCCACAGGTCGGTCACCAAGTCGGTACGAGGTCGGCCTTGTTGACATTCGCGTGGGCCTCAATGAGAAGGCGCACGACATCCAGATGCCCGCACTGCGCCGCAATGTACAAGGGCGTCGCGCCGTCCTAGCCACAAAAGGTATGTCGATGCAACACCACGACGCGTCGTACGTTCTTGGGCTGATCGGGCTTGGCGTGGGCTCGCAATAGCAGCGCCGTGCACCGCGCATGGCCGTTCTGCGCTGCAATGAAGAGCGGCGTCGCACCTTCCTACGCCAGACATGAGCGAATTGCGACTCATCGGCCTCGTACGCTCGTGCATTTGGAGACGCTGGCGCGCGCGTGCAGAAGGAGCTTGACGACGCTCGAGTGCCCGTTGTGCGCCGCAATGAAGAGCGCGGTCGCCTCTCCCTTTCGCGTCTATAAGCTTGGCAACACTGCCTCCACGCACCTCGCGGCACGCGTTGACGTCGGCGTTGGCCCCGAGCAAGAGCGACACGACGACCGAGTGGCCATTCTGCGCCGCCACGTACAGCGGCGTGTGCCCCAGCTATCATTGCCACAGCTGACATGAGTCTCGCTCGATGAATGCGATGATTACGCGCATGGCCTTGTTGACGTTGGCGTTGGCGCCGAGGAGCTGTGACGCAATGATGCTGCGGCCGCTGAGTGCTGCTGCCCACAGCGGTGTTCGCCCGCTCTACAAACAGGTGCGCGGTTCAAGAACGTCCCTCAACGTGCATCAAGTACAAGCTCTGCTTGGTTGACATCCGCGCCGGCAGCAAGCAGCATCGAGACAATGGTACTGTGGCCAAAGTGCGCAGCCGCAAACAGCGGTGTCCAGCCTGCCTATAGAGCCCTGAGACACGAATGTGGTTGCCAGCGCGTACGCGAGTGGCTTGGTTCGGATCGACGTCGGCAGAAAGTAGGAGCGAGACGACCTTGGAAAACCCGTTTTGAGCTGCGACGTACAGAGGCGTCCACCCGTTCTACCCGCGTCGACGGCTGTCGATTCGCAATTAGGAAGGAATCGCGCCAAGTACCTCGTCGGCGGTGCGCGGGTTGGCGTTGGCGCGAAGAAGGAGATCGACGATTGCAGCGTTGCCTTGGAATGCAACGGCATGGAAGCCTACAGCGTAATACATGGATGAGCACGAGCCGTGCGCGCCAAGAAGCCATTGCCTCGACGACCGCGTTCGGGTTGGCGCCTCTCTGAAGGAGGAGCGCAACCTGCGCGGCGTCGCCGCCTTGCGCTGCCTCGGCAAGGAGCCTATCGTCGCTGACCTGGGGCTCCCACTTTGGCAAGGACGCAGAGCGCACGCGAAACATCAAGCTCAACACTGCGTGCTCTGCCCGCACCTTGCGAGAAACGTCCGTTCTTTTGCGCCCGGGCCATGTTTATACGAACGCACCTCGGATGCGCTCGTCTGGCGCTGCCATGCCCGCGTGGCCTCTGCCATCTCAGCGTCGGATACAGCCGACCCGTCGACACGACAGTTTACATACATGTCGGCGTGAGGAACGCCCTTGGTGCATCATGTAAGGCCTTTAGAGTGGCGCTGCATGTCCGTTCCGTCGCGTCGTAGCGGCAAGCAACGTGTCTATTGAACCAGATTCAACGCTTCTTCAAGGAGCGACCACGTCGTGGTGGTGGTCAGCAACTCGAAAAGCAAGGCCTCGCGTGGCCAAACATCCTGTATTATTAGCATGCTCGATGATACCGCACCGGTAGCTTGGGCTCGAACCGAAGTCGAGGCGCGTGGTGGCAGAGGCCGCACTGGCGTCCGTCTCGCGATCCGACCAGCGGGTGCTTTTCAAAAACTTGAATTATCCGGATGACCAACCGAAGTATGCGGACGATTGGGCGCAGATCTTGGCCATGGCGACGGGCGACCTCGGCAACAACGCGACCAAGGTCCGGCGGCAGCTGCAGGCGATCCAGTACCCGCACGACGCCAACGACGCTGCCAAGCAGCTCGCCAGAGGCACGCCCGTGAACCACCTTCGCGAGCTCCTGCGCATCTTGCACTACGCGCTCCTCGACTACTCGCGGCACGTCGCGCAGCGCGTGCAAGCAGCGGTGCGTAGCCGCCATTGATATCGCGCTCATCTAAATCACATGTAGGACCTCGATCTCTATGGGCGTACGGACGCCAAGTTTGTCGACGGCGTCTTTCGCTTTGCCCGCGAGCACCTCGGGTACTTTCCTTCGCTCACCAGCGCTCAGTTTTTGTCGGCGACGCAGTTTCGCGAGCGCAAACTCATCATTGTGGCCGAGATGCTCGAGCACATCGCCAAGATCCACGTCGAGGGCCTTCGCCAGCAGCGAATAAAGCAGTCGGTTTGGGTGCCCAGCGACAAGGCGCCTTCTGGCCGGCCATCGCGCCCCGTCCAATCGCCGATTGAAATGGTCGAGCATCGCGCCAAGGCTCCAGCGACATGGCAGAGCGTCAACCTTGGGCAGACCAAGCCGTCGCGCGTGGTTCGACACGTCGCGTCACCGCCCGCATACCACGTATCGCCGCTCCTTCCGGCCCCACAGCCCGAGCCCGAGCCCGAGGCTCCGCTTATTTTCAACTGGCAGACACCCATCGATGGCGCTGTGTACAAGGTAATGATGCTTACACTCCGTTACACGAACGATCTCGAAGTCACTCGGCTGGTAGACTATGGACAAGGCGGTCTTGAAGCCGCCGCCACCAACACCGTACTGGGTCGAAGCACATGTTCAACAAGAGCAGCAGTCGCCACGTACGTACGAAGAGTGTGACGACGCCGTCGACGAGCTGTACCCACGAGAACTGCCGATTCAGCCAAGTGTCGAGCACCCGATCCAGCCCTCGCGCGCACCAACGCCATCGGTGCCAGCGATGCAGGCCACGTTGGCCACGGTACAACGACGGTTCATTGAGCGACTTTTTGACATGGCGTATGATAGCTCGAGGCGACGCTTTGCAACAAGCTCGACGATATTCTCGCGCTCGTCACGGACAAGTTCGCGCAGCTCGACGCACGGCTGGCGCGGCTCGAGGCCAAGGTCGACAAGCCGGACTCTTATCGAAGCCCCAACCAAGAACTCGAGACGGCCAAGGCGCTCAACGTCCCGCGCACGACGACTGCCCACAGTTCCGTGTATCGCTGGCCGCCCGAGCCCGCTGCGTTTCGTAAAGTGATCTAGGCCGTTGACGCATAGTACAATTTGAGCACGTTCGTATTACGTTTACTTGCGTCTTAGAGCTGTCTTAGGCCCAGTAGCGCTCGCCCGTGTAGTGGTTGTAGTAGTACGCCGCGCCGGACGCCTCGTCCACGTACTGCGCCCAGCCGTCGCTGCCGCTGGCCGCAGCGCCGTCGTCGTAGTAGTGGTACACGCCTGCCTCGTCGTAGAAACCATACTCGTTGGTCGTCGCGCTATAGTAGCCGCCCACGTTCTCGGTCGTGTAATCTTGCGTCGAGATCGCGTTCGAGTAGCTCAGCAGCTGCGCCGCCACGTCGGCAGGGTTGGTGTAGCCCGGTTTTGTCCAGCTCGCCTCTTGGGTGCGAATGTTAAAGTAGTAGGACGCCTGCGCGTTCTCGTCCCAGTATTCGACCCACTCGTCGTCGCTGGTCGAGGTGGCCACCGCGTCGGCCTTCGCCTTCGCCGCCGCTTCTTCGGCCGCGGCTTCTTTGGCAGCCTGCGCTTCCCGCCGTTTGCGCTCGGCCTCGATCTTGGCCTGCATGGATTGGACCTGGCGCCGCGCGATGTAGCCTTTGCCCGCCGCCTGGATCCGGCGCGCGGCCACATCTTTGGCCTTGCGCTCTGCGACGCGCTGCTGCTCGCGGATCTTTTTCTGCTCGAGCACAAGCGCGAGCTCTCGCTCCTCTTGCTCCCGGACGCGGGCTTCGTCCTCGAGCGCCTCGACCAGTCGGCGCTTGACTTCTTCCTTCTCCAGACGCGCTTTCAACAAGGCGCGCTCTTGGACGTCCTTGATCGCTTCGAGCTGCCGCTTTTGATCTTCCTGGATGCGCTTGAGGCGCTTCCGACTCAAGCTCGCGCGGACAAACGCTTGAATCTGAAGCGCAGCTCGCTCCTTTGCCACGCGGTTGGCGGCTTCGGCCGTCAGTGCTTTGGCGGCTTGGAGCTGCTCGTCCTGCTTGCGCGCGAGCTCGAGGGACTTGGCTGTATCGAGCTGCAAGAGGTTTTGGCTCACGCGCAGGCGCGCATCTTCGTCACGCTGCTTGGCATCTTCGTCGGCGGCCCGACGGCGCTTCTCTTCCATTGACGCCAGTTGCTGCCGCTCGCGGTCGAGTGCTTCGCGCTTGGCCTCGAGCTCGCGCGCGTCCTGGAGCGCCGCGCTTGTGTGCGACGGCTCGAGCATCGCCGCGAGTTTGTCGCTGGCGAGCGTGGCTTCGTCGATCTTAAGCGTTGCGAGCTGCACCAATCGCTGCTGCTCGACTTCAGCGCGGAGCCGCGCGGCCTCGGCCTCGATCGCGCCTTTCTCCAGCAGCATTTGCAGCTTCATCTGCGCCAGCTCGACCTCCTGTTCTTGGCGCAAGCGTGCGATCTCGTCGCCCGCCTTCTCGGACGCAAGCATCGCAATGCGCTTTTGAAACTCGGCGCGCCGCAGCGCCAGCATCCGCACCGCCTTGCGCTTGCGGAGGAAGCACTGGATGCGGATGGCGGCATTGGCGCGTTCTTGGGCCGCGTTGAGCGCTGCGACTTTGATCCGGTGCTCACGCAGCCGGACGCGGTACCGCTCCCGACTGAGGTACCCGCGCATGCAGCACTGAATGCGGACAGCCGCGGTCTCCTGTGCATCGCGCACGAGCTTGGCGAGCGCGGCCTGCGCGTTGGCTTCAAAAAGTGCTTTCTTTTTGGCGGCGCGCTGCCGACCCCAGTGCCCCCGGAGCGCGGCTTGGATCGAGACGGCGGCTTCTTCGCGCTCTTGGCGAAGCAGCATCTGACGCTTGCGCTCGCGGCGCAGCTTGCGCGCATGGTTGCGCGCCTGCTTGGACCGCGCGAGGCACTGAATCTTGATGGCCGCGAAATGCTCTTCCTTGTCGAGGGCGGCTTTGGCCTGCCGCCGCAAGTGCACGTCGCGGGTGGCGGTGTGGCCGCGCCAGCGTCGCTGGATTTGGAGCGCTGACCGGTGCTGCAGCTGCTGGCGACGACGCAGCGTACGCTCGGCGTCCAGTGCGTTGCAGTAGCGTCGACCTCGAACGCCGCGGTAGAGGCTCTGGACGCGAATCGCACTCGCGCGGCGCGTGGCGGCCAGTCGCTGCTCTTGTTCGCGGGTTGCGCGAAGCCGCAGGTGGTAGGCGTACTTTCCAGTGGCGCCGCGCCAAAACGCCTGAATCCGGAGTGCGGCGCGGTCACGTTTGACCGCAAGACGCTTGGCGGCCTTCTCGCAGCGCAGGCGCGTGACGCGTACTCGCGCGCGATGACCCCGGAAGAGACGCTGAATCTGTGTTGCCGCGCTGTGACGGCGTCGGATGCCACGCACGCGCAGCCGACCGAGCCAGCCGCGCACACAGCGCTGGAGGTCGCGCGTGGCTTTGGCCTTCCGGCGCACGAGCCGGCGCCGGGCGATCTCGAGGTACGCGGCTTTGCGCCGTGCCGCGCACTGAAGGATGACGGCGGCGCGGTGCTGGCGCTTGACGTAGAGCACTTCGCGCGCAAAGAGCCGCTGCTGGTACGTTCGAAACGCCGTCTGGATCACAATTGCGGCGCGGTTCATGGCCTGTACGCGGAAGAGCTGGCGACCGAGGCGCCGGCCCGCGAAGCCTCGGTAGCACTTTTGCAGCAGCGACGCGCTCGCGACTTCGAGGCGATGTTGGCGGAGTCGCCGCACGGCGCAGCGACCGAGGTGGCCGCGTACAATGCGCTGAAAGGCGACCGCGCCGACGTCTTGGCGGTGATGGAGGCGGGCGACGCGCACGAGGAGGCCGCGAGCGCGCTTCTGAATCTCGATCGCGCTCGCATTGCGCTCGTTGCGGGCTTGGTCGATGGCCTCTTGGGTCCACGCAAACCACGCACGGACGAGCGACTTGTGCTTCCAGGCGTGCATGAGCGTGTGGAGGCGCGCGCCGGCCTTGACTTTGAGGTACTTGTCGGCCTTGAGCTTGGCCGCCATAAAGGTGAGGTAGTCGATCCACTTGTAGAACGCGCGGGCTTGAAAGTTGAGCAGAATGCGGGAAAAGAACTTGTTCATTTTCTCGGCGCCCCACTTTTGGCAAAAGAGCTGCGCCTTGAGCGACGTGACGGGGCAGTTGGCTTGCACCCACTGCACATCTTCCCGCACTAGATCGCATCGTTGGAACGACTCTGCGTCGTCGGGGAGGAAGATACCTTTCATATCGAGCGTCTTGAGGCCGTACTCGGACAAGGCGAGCTCGCGACGGAGCGCGGCGACGTCCGTGGGCGCGCCGGCCTGCAAGCAGCTTGGCGTCGGCCGCGCCATGAACCTCTACGCAGACACCGATCGAACGAGCGAACGTCATGGGAGGGCACGTACGTTGAACTGCTGAAGATGGCGCTTGGAGCGCTGCGGCGCCACCTTGAGCGGCGGTAGCCCCGCATCGGCAACGAGCGAAAGTTTCGATTTGGACGCACTCGCCATCGCGCCGACGTGCTGGGCGACCGCGAGGAGCCTACGCGAGCATGAGTACGCAATTGGGAGCGATTCGAATGGACCGCTTCCGCGCCTTCATCATGTTGATAAACTCTTCAAACTCGATCGAGCCGTTGTTGTCAGCGTCGGCCTGCCGAATGATGTCGTTGATCTCTCCGTCGTCCAAGTCTGCCTCGCCCATGGCCTTGAGCAGCGTCCGGAGCTCGTCGGGCGAGATGGACCCGCTCTTGTCCGTATCGTACTCGTCAAAGACAGCGCGGTACCGCTCGACCATCTCGTTTTGGTTGAGGGCTTGGCCGCCAAACTGCGCCTCAAGCGCGTTAAACTCGTCCAGCGTCAAGCCCATTTGCGCTGCCTGGGCTGCACGCTGCGCATCGTCTATCGACGCGCGCTCGTCTAGCGCCGGCGGTGCAATGAGCGGTCGGGTTTTTGTAGGCCGCGCCCGCTTCTTGGAGGGCTTCTTGCGTACTACGTGGCTTGACTTGTCGTCGGCTTGGTTCGTCTTGTGACGAGGGAGCGTCAGCGCGGCGACGTGCTGGAGTCGCTTGCGCCGAAGGTCGGCCGTCGGCTGGAGGAACGGGTGTTTGGCCATTTGAAAGCCCGGCGAGTCCATCTGGAAGAGACTCTTGAGGCTCGCTGCGTTGAGGTACAGCGGCCTACGCGTGCCATGAGCATGCGCACCGAAAACTCGCTGGGTACTTGTCGCTCGCTGGCAGCTGCAGCGGCCGCGTGCTCGATGGCAGACTCTGGTAGAGCCATGGCGCTCCGGCCGGGCTGCTCATGCTGCCCTGGCGCTCGTTTCCTCCGTAACGGTCAACCCGAGTACGAATTGAGCAGAACCGACTTATTTGTCATATTTGGTTTCCACAAGGAGGTCAATATCTTGCAACACGCCCTGCTAAGCCTCCCTCCGCGTCGTTCGCCTCGCAGTTCAATGCACAGACTCCCACGTGATTACCATCACTGTAACCAACGCCGAGCTATTATCTACGGGATCGCCGCCAACCGAGCTAAACCTACCCCTCGTCGACGACCGTCCGAATTGGAACTCACGACACTCTCGGGGTCTAAACGACATACGCAAGAACTGTACCTGCATGGTATTCCTCGCGTGACACTGCCTTACGATATACACAGTGGCTGCATCTCAAAATGCACGGGTTCCTAAATGGCGGGACCTTCGCGTGGCAGAAACGCTGCTGGTGGCTGCAAAAGTTTGGAGAGAACCATGGCCATGAGCTCGTCGTGCCGCGCCGCTCGCTCTTCCCGCTGCGCGTCCATCTTGTCGCGATACTCTTCACGCTGGCGGTCCCGCTCCTCGCGCTCGAGGCGCAGCGCTTCGAAGCGCTCGTCGCGCTCGCGTTCGCGGGACTCGCGGCGCTCTTCCATTTCCCGCATCCAGCGTTCGCGCGACTCTTCCATTGCCAGCAAACGTGAGAGCACGTGGTCCTCGACCTCGGAGCGCGGTCGCTTGGCAAGTGGCGCCAGGCGTCGCGGTGTCTCACTGCTCATGGGCCGGGGTAGCGGCTCGACAGCGTCCATGGCGGCCGCATACTCGGTAGTCTCCAGACGCAGCACCGGGGGGCTCGCTACCTCGTCGTCACCACCCTCGGGCGTGGACGCCGTGTTGCGCATTGCAATCAAAATCTGCCGCCGGCTGGGTGGCACCGTGCCACGTTTGGGTACGCGCTTGCTAAACGCTGCAATTTCCTTGGGGCGGAGCCCTTGGCTTGCGTAGACGTTGGCAAGCGGCGCGGCCGGCGGCTCGATCGCCTCTGGCGCGGGCTCTTCCGCCGTCGGAGCGGCAAAGTTGTTGCTAGTGCCGTCGCTAGGACCGAGCGTCAGCACGGCCTTCTTACGGTTGATGTCGTCTTGAATGCGCTTCGCCTCGGCCGAGTGCTGGCGCGTCGTGAGACTTCCTACATTCCATGTCCGACGCAACCTAGCCATGACGCAGCTCTACCTGTGCCACTGGCCATGTTGCGCAGCGACTTGTACTTGCGCCGGACCGACTGCAAGTCGCGGCGGTCGGCTCGCTGCCGATGAAAGTTGTATGCGATCACGACGTCTTCCCACTCGTTCGTGTCGACGGGCAATATGTCGCTGACGCAGGCGAGGAGATCTAAGCGCGAGCGCTATCAGCGCCACCACGGCTCCCGTCGTCTCGTCGTACCGAGCTCCTCGTTGGCCTTCCAGCCCTTCCCGCGGCCATGGCCCGTGCGCTTGAGCATGGTCGGATTTGCGCTGGAGCAAAAAAGAGGTGGTGAAGCAAACGGAATTCGTGCCACCAATTTAAATTTACAAATCCTTTAACATGCATACAATATCCGTGTCATACAAAACGAAAAACGCCTCTCAATTGCACGGCCAGCGTCTCTTTGTGCGAAATATACGCCACGGAAACGACAGCTGGGCAAGAAAAAGGTCAGCAGCGCTGCGACACGCCCAAGATCCTGTTATGTATTGCTCGAAACGCTTGCTTAGTATTCGGCACCACGTTCCGACACGTCATCACGTCAAAGATCGCGGCCACGCACACTACTCCCCATCATGTTCTATATAAAAAACAAGATGCACATCATCGTACTAGCATGGTATAAGAGCTCGGCAAAATTTTGATTAGGAAGAGTGCTCCACAGCCATCCTACTTGTTGAGTTCGGGCCACGACCACGCCCCCTTGCGCGCGTTCGATTGGCGCGCCGCATTCGTGAGCGCGGCCCACGCGTCCTTCTCGTCCGTCCACGTTTCAAAGTCGCCGTGGTTGCTCGGCTTGAGCACCTGCCACACCATCCACGGCACGCCCGCCGCGTTGGCCGCGGCCGTGTACGCCGCGAGGCCGCTGGCCTTGTTGCTTCCCGAGGCGCCAAACTCTTCAAAGAGGACGCGCTTCTTGTGCACGTTGGCGAGCTGCACGGCAGCCTTGAGCTTGTCGGCGTTCGCGCCTTCGTACGAGTGGATCGCGACCACGTCGAGCGCCGGGCAGCGAAAGTACTCGGAGAGCTGCGACACGCCGTAGTTGGTGCCGCCGCCCGACATGACGAGGATCTTGCGGTTGGACACGGCGTTCCGGATCGTCTTGGCGCGGTTGCAGAGCCACTGCGGATTGGGCATCGCGGTGCCGCTCTCAAGACCGCCCTGCGACTCGTTCTGCGGCTCAAACCCCAAAATGGCCTCCGAGAGCTCGCTCCACGGACGGTTGTTGAAGTACGGATTGCGGTGCGCCAAGATGTGCTGGATGCGCTTGTCAAAGTCGGCCTGGGCGTCACCGCGCGTGTAAAAGTCGTTGGCGATGTTGGCGTGCTGCTGGCAACTCGTCGTCGTCGGCAGGTTGTACTTGGTCACATACGCGTCCGTGTCCCAGCACCCGAGCGACCAACGGTCGTGGAATGCAATGATGAGCTTCATGTTGCGGTCGTAGCAGTCGCGAATGAGCTTGTCCACGAGCTTGAGGATCGAGTCGTCGTACTGGCCGACGGGGTTCTCGACGTCGTTGACGCCGACGTTGTTGGCGCCCTTGGTGTTGGCGCCGGTCCGCGAGAGGAAGATACGCACGGTCTTGAAGCCGCTCGCCTTGAGCTTGTCGAGGACCTCGCGCCGGTCGCTATCGACGAGCGTATGGAGGAAGTAGCTGTTGGCACCCGCAAACGACTTGGGGACGGACGAGAGGCACTGCGAGGCACCCGAGCGACACGTTTTGGTTTTCGAGTGGGGGGTGTCGGCGGCGACGCAGCACATCCAGCCCTTCGACGCACACGTGTCCGAGGTCGAGTTGCACACTTGCCAGTCCGGCACCGTCTTGGCCATCGTCGCAAGAGGCAACAGCGCGAGCAGAATACGAATCGGCTTCATGGGTAGTAGCGAGTAAAAGCAAATATGACCAGGCGAGTAGACCGCAGTCCTGCCTCAGACGCGACAAGCTGTTTTGGCCGAAACGCGTTCCGTGACGTACCGGGTGCTGTGGTAATGCATTCTGCGCGTAGTGTGTACGTTATGCGTCCCTACAGTGGTAGGCGTCGCATGTTCTGATGTCGTCGACCCAAGCAGATTGCTTGCCGACTCGGCGGATACCGCGAAACAGGGTCGATCGAGCGGCGCGTGGCATATTACAAAGAAAGGACCGCATCTGGTCTCTGCGTAGCGCTGATGGCCGCACATCCTGATGATGCGGAGCATCTGGAACGACAGCTCTGAGACACAGCACTGGTCTGCGAGATTTGCGGAGGACCATACTCGACGCACACATGTATAATAAAGTATGGTCTGCACTTCCTTTCTTCAGGAGTACTTGAAACAAAAGGTCAAACACAATGACTTGTTCATTAACCCTCCCGCGACGAGATGGGCGATAATCGCCCAAAAAGTTGGCATTGGGCGATTATCGCCCAAAAATATAATGATGATTTAACTTTTGTTTTATTACGATATCGCCCTCCGATTGGCCAATGATGGGTAGTCACGCGCTCCTATTGGCTGTGATTTTTTTACTGCTCATACATTCGAGGCATTTTTATTGTGTGGCATCATTCAAAATTTTCGTCACGGCACCCATGGGTTGGATAATTATAATAGTCAAGTACATTACAAGCACCAGAGACACGTATGTGTCGAGGACTGTATGATGCAGTCGACTCGTATAAGACAATTACGTACGTATGTATTTGTATTACTTCGACGATGCAACGCGCCACATATGCGCTACGCCTGGACTAAAGCGCCACGTGGATGAGCACGATTGGGCGTCGGCTTGTTGAAGTGAGTCTATTTAGATATAATTTACACTGAACTGGATATGGTGGTGGACTATCGATTCCAAGGTGCTACGACGAGC